CCCCAAGACTTTACAAAGTGTTCTTGTCAGCTTGGTCCTCTGTTTGGATGAAAGTATCAAAATTAACAAGTTTTAAAAAGAAAAAAAAAAGAAAGAATCACAGCTCATCTGGAATTCTGTTTGTGTAGTGTCAAATCTGGTCAAAAAGGTTTGTTTCAATTCTTAAAAATAGTCTCAAAATAGGTTTTATGGTGGGCTGATTTTTTTTCTTAATTGTTTTTTGTGTGCGTGTGTGTGTGTAGTAGTAGTAGCTGCTGTTGTTGTAGCAAAGTTCCCTTTACTATTGGGCTTGGATGACCAGGCCTTGTCCTCCAGTACTGGGATCAATGGGAGTGAGCAAAAAAAAAGGGGGGTCTCTGCGCAGACGTGGTCATTCCTGGKTTCGACGAGGGTCCTCCGTGCATCAGCATGGTGTGATGATGGTGGGGAGCGTGGGGATGATCCAGAAGGTAAAGAGGGTGCCCGGGTCAGTGGTGGGAGTGGTGTGAAGTCATCTGATGAGAGTGGATGAAGGTGGGTGGGCCCATGCTCATTCACATTGGACTGCTCTGAGGTACAAACTCCCCCGGCATGACTGGCAGACCTGAGAGACAAGACACACAGAGAGAAATGTATTCACGGAGTCAATAAAACTGCAGTTTGGACATGCTCCTTCTCYATTAACAGGCCCTTAATTCAATTTRAACTCCGCTTCACCAACAGAGAGCTTAGCAGACTTTATGACACTGTGTGTGTGACTACAGAGCTTTTAGCTTCTGGAAGTAAAGCGAGACATTATTGCGCGGGGCTATTTTAGGCAACGGTGAGTGGTTTACAATGCCCAATAGCGTTGTGGTCAGGTCTCAGGCTGGAAAACGATCCTCAGTCATCCGCAGACAGCGGAGTCCTGGAGGATGCGAGGAAAAACCAAGCAGGAGTATCGATGTGGAGAAGCGCTAATACTTTTACAAGTGCGAGCAGTCGATTCCCTAGCTGAATTCGGCGACAAACCAAACAGGCGTTTTCTCCCGAGCATGTGCCTCTGTGATCATATTTGATTGAGAATCCCTTAAAGTTGTTCAAAAATATTCAGAATGGGTTGGCTTGTTTTTTCCTGCTGAATGAGAGAAGCTTAAGCTTACAGTAGAGCGTGTGTGGGACAAGAACAAGAGCAGGAAGTGGCTGCAAGACAAAGCAACAAAGATGAAAGGAAGTGAGAGGAGAAAAGGGATGAAAAGGAGGCAGGCTGTGGTGATGTCCCTTCAGATGGACGCCACTCCATATGAGTGGAGACCTCAGCATGCTGGCATCTCTCATACTGTGACAGGACCCAGGACACAGAGCTGGCTCAGCAGTGCTTCTGTTTGGCTTTTTCACATCCCTGTTTGTTGTAATCAGAAAGAAAAGAGTAAGATGTGGCWTTGGTGGGGGCTGCGGGTGGTTCCTCGAGCCTGGGACTGCTTGTATGGAAACATGACTGATACAGAGGCCTGGACCTCGGGGAGTGACAAGTGAACAGGAGGTCCTGCAGAAGCCAGGGGGCCTTGGTCTGAGATTTGGTCTGGGTTGGCCATGCTTTGTAATATAAACCCCAGGGGGATTAGAAGCTGTAATAGGAGGGGAGAGGTCACTGTGAGGTCACTGAGCATGCTCACTCTCTGCATTCCTGTACCTTAGTACACTGCAATTAAGAAATTACACCGGAGGGCTTCGGCRAGGGGTAAAGGAGGAGTACAGAAAGGAGAGGACAGCAAAGGCCAAGATTAATGACAGGTCTCACCCAGTGAAGTCTGTGTTGTTTTCTAATACCTTTTTTCCCCCCATGTCAGTTTGTTTGAGATGCAAACATTTATCAAAGCAGGTATCTTAAGACCTTATCACATGGGTTATCCAGTCATTCTTTCTATTAACCTGTTTTCGTTTCCTGGTTGCGATGAGCTATAATCACTGTACACCCCGGACAGGTCGCAAGTCCATCACAGACAAAATGGACAAACAACCATTCACACTCTAACTCCCACCTAKGGACAATTTAGAGTTACCAGTTAWCCTAACATGCTTGTTTTTGGTCAGTGGGAGGAAACCATAGTTTACTTAAGCCCCTGATTTTTTTCAGGAGTTACGCTCCTRAAGTATCTGTGCAATGTGAAAAAAAATTGTGAATATTAGATGCGGTCCAGAAAAGGCCTAGCTGGGCTGGCATCGWAATGTGGTAAGAACTAAACAAAAACACACAGGTGCTACACACTACATGTTACTGCACAGTAAACTGTTAGAAGGCAGAAATGCTGGGCTCTGGGTGGAGCGTGGGCACAGGGCATGCATCACATACTGTCATTTTTTTATGGAACTGTATTTACGTTAATAATGATGTTACAAAATCTGTGAATTTTATTGCAATTTAGCTAAAGAACTCAGCATGAGAGAAAAAAGCAATTGATGTTTCTTAAAGTACTGTATTTCTGGTTTCTGCAAAAGACAGAGTCCACAAACTGTAAAACTTTGCCAAGCGTCATTGTACCTGGAGAAACCCCACATAAGGAGAACATGCAAACTCCACACAAAAAGGCAAACATGTGACCTTCTCTCTGTGAGACAACAGATCTCTCAACTGTCACTGTGCCAGTCATCCAAATAAATAAATAAAAACATTTAAAATCAAGGTGTTAGGGTATGATGGGCACCCTCACCTCCATATAACCTCGAGAAATTCCTGTGAAAAGTCCCAGCAGGTGTGATTTTGTCATTGTAAACTGGTGATCTCTACTCTTGCAAGCTGCAGCCATTCCATTAACAGGAYTGTCCCTCCTTCTCCCTCCTTTATTAACAAGAAACCATCTCAAAACAATAACTGAGGACAAACTGGACTATCTCTGCATGCCTGACTCCCCATCAGGATGTGCATTTCCGTTATGGAACAGTAGTCCTGCTCAATGGCTGGCCATAATTAAGTACCAAATATACCATATTGTGTGGCTGTGTAATCAAATCAAGAGAGGATAATATTCCTCTGTATTAAGCTATTAATGTAATTGGTCATGAAGCATAAAGTATGTTACGTAATTAAGTAGTCTCAAAATTATATAGGCCTACATTAAGAATTAGCCAACCTGAGCAAATGTTGTCTCTGTGTGGCTGTTTTAGGGAACATTGCTTTCTGATTTTCTTTTTTTTTCCCTGTGGCCATTAGTGGAGACAGGAGGGGATGAGACCAAATGTTTGGGAGACAGAAAGCGTGCATGAACCAGAGGGATGAAATGATCTCTGTCGGAGGAATTGCCTCTGTGACCCTTTCGTAAATCCAGCCTCCATTTACATATAAAGGGTTCCTTTAATCAAGGTAAGTGTTATTATATTGTGCCTCATTGGGCAAGGGAGTTTAGGTGTTAAATAAAATCTTGTCTGCCCTGCTACCTTTGGGATGTGATAGGTCTGGATTTTTCAAATGTCAGCACTGTGGCAAAAAAAAATGGCTGGTTTAATCAGTCTGCCGGCATTTAGCTTCATAGGAGGGTCTCTTTATGGGTATGTGTGTGTGAGCGAAAGAAAAACAACACAGAAAGAGTGTATCTGTGTGGCTGTGAAATAAAAGGATCCCCTTCTTTTGGACAGAATGAATGCTTGAGTCTGTGACCATATAAATTTGTCTTAGTGTCTCTTGTCTTTGAGTCCCAGGTCAGGCTTCTCATTGGCCCCTACTCTCCCTTAAATCGTCTCTCCCCTCTGGTAAAAAATAATCAAAACAAGCCCCACCCCACCCCACACACAGACATACACTTCTTCTTACCAATACGCATCTCAAACCAAATCCCCATTGAAGGATCGACCATGACACCCAAGGCCYGTATATCTAGCTCAGGGACCGTAATGTACTGCGGTGTTCCCGTCTTTGCATATAAGATAATTTGGGCATCAATCCTTCTCGAGACAGATTTATGTCACTCGGAGGACAGTTTCACTTCTCATTCTTTATCGCTTCACTGGAGCCTGCTTAATTTCCCCCTGTCAGCCCCTTCCCCAGGAGATGTTATTTTTTCCCTAAATGTCCAACATTTGCATTGGGGCTGTCCACGACGGGGAGAGCGATGGCGCTGTTGTGATAAATAAATTTGAGCGTTCCATGCCAGGTTGCCCCCACCCCCACCCCTCCTTGTTTTGACTCTGTTGTTGTTCCTGTTGTCTGGCGCCACAAGTCGGGTCCTCTCTGTCCCGGGATGGTTCCCACTTTTTCACAAATGTCCAATTCATCCTTGGCCCTCCCACCTCGACCCTTAAAGATTCTGCTCAAACAGCCTTGAAGGCTGCTGTAAAATTGGACACTCAGGGTAAAAAGAAAAAGAAATCTGTGCTGCTCCACTGAAAAGGAACAAAAACAAAATCTAATCCTATGAAACTCTCAAACAAAATATATATATTTTTTAAATTGGGGAAAAAAATCTCAGTACTTACTTCCCCCTTTTTCTTTGCATTCCAAGATGGAGGTTACATGTAGTGCCATTGTCCATCCATACCCATATTCATCCCCATTCCACTCATAGGCCCTGGAAACGGGAGATAAACGCCAGGAAAGGGGTCAGTAGGGGTTTGTAACACAGAAAGGAAATTCATTAAAGGAGGCAATACAGTTTGTTAGACAGGAAACAATGATGAAAAAGGAGTTGAAAAGTGAAAATATACACAGATTCAGTTGTTACAATTGTAAAGAATTTTCCCAATGTGTTAGATTATATGAAAAATGAAAGAAAACAGAGACTATCAAGCAAATGTGGGGGATCTTCTACATGCTAAGGTGACCAAAGATGATCAATTTTTTGGAGGTAACCAGAGGTGAAACTGGTAACTGGGAAAGTGAGGGTGATGGTAGGTGGAAAGATGAAACCATAAAGGTGGTGGATGCATTTACCAGCTGGTCGGATCCCCATGTGTTGCTGACCATCCAGCACGAAGCTGCCCATTGGCTGGCCCTCTGGACTGTATGCTGCTCCTTGGCTCACTGAAGGATCAAGAAGAAAACCTGATTGTAGTCAAAACGTGGACATGAAAAAGGGAGGGAGGGAGGGAGGGGAGGGTTATAAGTGG